TAACCTTTTGCAAATTGCATTATGGAATGTCACTTTGTTATTTTACTTCTGTTACCAGCTTCTATTGTTAAACTATACTTAGCCATAACTCCACCTATGTTCTTTTTCTGTAACTTTCTAGCCTGGAGAGTAAATACTGAGAAAGAACCCCAGTCTGGTGTTAATTCCTCCTGAGGAGGAATGCCTTTCTCTTGAGGGTTCCTGGGAATTAAACCCTTCGAGGTTTCTCACTGCTCAGAAGAAATGGGCTTTAAGTAATCCTTTGCGTCTCCATCACCCAGGGGAAGAGAGGTGACAAAGAGAGTGTAACATATACACATACACACTATGGAATATTATTCAGCCTTAAAAAAGGAGGAAATCTTGCCATTTGGGATAACATGGATGAACCTAGAGGACATTATGCTAAGTGAAATAAACCAGACACAGAAAAGCAGACACTGCATGATCTCACTTATATGTGAAATCTAAAAAAGTTGAACTCATAAAAGCAAAGTAGAATGGTGGTTACAAGGGCTGGTGGTGGGGAAAATGGGGTGATCTTTGTCAAAGGGTACAAATTTCAGTTATAAGATGAAAAAGTTCTGAGAACCTAATGTACAGCATGGTGACTATAGTTAATAATGAATTATATATCTGAAATTTGCTAAGAGAAAGTAAGTGTTTTTACCACACACACAAAGGGTAACTGTGGTAATTAGCTTGATCATGGTAATCACTTCACAACATATGCATGTCAAATCATCATGTTGCACACCTTAAATACATACAATTTTTATATGCCAATCATACCTCTACCTCAATAAAGCTGGGGGAAAAATTCCATATACACATAGTAAGGTTCTACATAAGATTTTATTTTTTACAAAGGCTGCGCTACTAGACCAGCTCCTTCTCTTTCCCTGCCCAGCAGCAGCTCAGGCCCCCACATGCTTCTTTGAGGTCGTATCTGCAGGCCCCAGGGAAAGACGGAGATTCAGAGCCTAAGATGGAGCTCGCATCCCATTTCTCCTGCTAGTGCCCACTACACAGAGGAGTGACCCCGCTTCAACCCCAAGGCAACCACCACCAGTCCCTCCTTCCTTACACTAGGTAATATCAACTTGGAAAATGATGCAAGCAAGTCTTGCTGAGATCTCAGGGCTTCTGTTTCCTTATCTCGATGTTGGAAAGTCTGGGCTGTTATCCAGGAACTTCCTTTCCGTTCTGGCATTCTTTGATCTAATCCATCGATCAGTGAAATCTGCTAATGACATGCCAGGAGGGAAAACACCAGCAGGAAAGGATCGAGACAAATAGAAACATTGAGCCTGGCTCCATCCCTCTGGGAAAATTCCAGAAAAGTAAGGGGGAGATGGAAAGGTGAAAATCTAGAAGAAAATGCATGTGAGACAGTCGTGAGCTGTAGAAGTTTTTACTTTTGCATAAATATATGTAAGACCATATTCTATAATTTATATTAGTTATAAAGTGCCATTATTTTCATTACAATTTTCCAAATAAATGTGGTCACCCCCATATACCACAGCTTCAGTTTCACTATATTTCATATTACTTAGCCATTATACACGTTAAGGTCACGCCAACAATAAAATCTCCGTATTTCATAAATGCTTCCCCATTATGCTGATGGGTATATTATTTCAAGTTAAAGGAATGACAAAATAAGTGGATAATCCCTGAGAGCTGGTTGTCAGTCTAGACCATGCTAACACCCCATTCATTTATCCTTATGGGTTTGGAGATTCTGAATAGTTGAAGGCTTAGGCTTGTTCATTTGGTAAGTTTCCAATACTGTCTGAAAAGTCTATCAGTCTGACACAAAATTTGTCACAGTTAACTGCAGAAGCTGAGTCGTGGGTTCACAGAGGTTCACTATTCTATTCTCTCTCCTTTTGCATGTGTTTAAAATTCCCCATAACAGAAAATTTTAAAAAAATAAAATATATCTGCCTTCCCTGAAATCTATTTTAAAATAAATACCATTAGGCTGCTTCATCCAAATCTTAGTGCGACAGAGGTCACTCACTAACTAGCCATGCCAAAAAGGATAACGTATTTCTCCCTTTCCCTTAACCTTGGCTTTGGAGTTTTTCTTTATTGACTATTCTTCTCACACTTACATCATTTGCTTGTTCACAGTCCTGTTCTCAGAATGTCACTGTAGACTTTTTGTCTAATACTTCACTCCCCCATAAGGGCGAATGGAGAAGAGAAAGAAACCTGTGCCAAATGTAATTAAAGTTATATTATGTAGCCTATAGTTTGGGGTCAGCAGACATGACTACAAAGATATGCCTCTAAAAAAATAACATAAGACTGCTCCAAAATTCAAAACAATTTTCCAGAAATTCTAAAGCAGTACATGAGTACTTATCCCATATCACTTTGGGGAGGTCTTATAGTCTTTGCCCACAAAAATCAAGTTTGCAAAGAACTGCAACCAAAACTTGAATAGCAGAAACAAAACAGGATTTGTTTGGGGTAGGATGACAAGGATTAAAATGATGCTTTGTCACTTTAGCTGGCTTGCTGTGGGGCTCTCTCCCTTCACCTCCCAAAATAAGAAAATGGCTCTCAGATCTTTGATGTAAACCTTTCCATCAGTTTCTCAAAGATGCCAGCTCCTTTCCTTCCTTCTTTTTCTATCTTCTCTTCCTGCTTGGTAACAATAACAAGCTAATTTGATGCAGGAAACAAGTCCCCTCTACTCCTCTGTCAGGTTCCTCCACTCCAGCCCCAACTGATATCACGCTCTTGTATTGTCAACAACCCTTTCTAGGCGCGAAGCTTTGGAGATGAACAGCACACTCTGCCTCCGTGGAGCGTGTTTCCTCTCTCCTTTGACAATCCCTGTTCCACTGTCCTGTCTTGCAGAAAGGGGAGGGCCTGTTTGATTTCAGCCTTGGCTCGGATATAAGATCATTGTTATCACGTTTTTGTTTTTTGTTTCCTTTTTGTTTTCAACAAAAATCCACGGACAAATAATGTATATAAAATAAAAGACTTACACAACAGCTCTTTTGAGAAAAATCAGGGGTGTTTTTAGGCCGTTCCCACTAGAGGGCACCAGACCCTGCACTTGTGTCCTTGGTTACCTCTACAGCATCTGCCTTTACCCCGCACTGCCCCCTCCCAACCCCTAATCCTCTGATTCTAGAAAGTGCTCCCACATATATAACATGATTAAGACAGAACTCAGACTTTCTCTGATGGAGCAAATTGGAATTCTTGAAATAGATTTTGAACCCTCCATACAGATAGAGCTCAGGCCCCATCTTAGTTTCAGACCCTGCCTCTAATAGGGGTTCTGACAACTCAGTAGACTCTAGGCTCTAGAGAGACATACCTGAGCCTGAGGGATTCTACAGGCAGGAGTGGAGGTAGCAGGAATCTATAAACAATGAACCAAGCTTGTCAGTCTTACCAGGCCATGCCCCAAATTACCACATTATATGCCTATCATATTTCCAGCCGTTTCTATACATTATAAACCTGCTCTCTCTAACCTCATTTTATAGATTAGGAAAAATTCAAGTCTAGATTTACCCAACGTTACTTGTAAGAAACCTCCCTTGGTGTCCAGCCCAACACCATCAACCCCTTGGGCAGAAGGAATTGCTGTAGATCAATTAGGCATCAGGACACAAAGGACAACCTCGTTTATGCATATGGCACTTTTCCCCCTTCCACCCATCAGAAAGCAGACACCATCAGAAAGCAGACACCGGGAAGTAACTTCTGTCTGCCTACCCCACTCCTATTGATGCCCTCCAGTCAGACCACAGGACCACTGTGGCTGAAAAAATCGTGAACACTCACTGCACTGAGATCACACACCCTGGGAACTGTGCAGCATCTCAGTAAGAGGGTGGCAGAAAGAACTTAAGAGGATCGGGGCTTTGGGTGGGTAATTTGCAGGAGGGTTCTACAAACAGGGGTTGGCTCTGGATTGGGTGCTATCAGGAAGTGGGGATAATTCTTTGATGGGGCATCTTAAAAAATCTCCTCTAGGACAGATGAGAGTGAAGCTAAGTGGGAACTGGTAAAGCAGCAGCAGTCACTTGGATTAGGTGGGAGGGGGATGTTTGGTATTTTGTGGTTTACAAAGTGACATTGTTTTAGGGTATGCTTTAAAAAAAACTACAAAGTGGTCTTGTTTTTTGACTCACTGCATCGTGGTCACAGCGTGACTTGGTCTGAGGTTGATATCGTGAGGTTGTTTATGTTGAACAAGAAAACACCATGGCCCAGCGATGAGCTCCACGGCCAGATCCTGGCAACATCAGAGGCAGGCTGTCTCGGGCTAGCTCCTGGCTGTTAGAGGGAGCTTTCCTTGTTATCACCCCTCTTCAGCCGTGTCTTTCATGCCTGGGAGATGTTGTGGGGAACACATAAAATGGGATAGCATAGTAACCCAGAACTTCATAATTATTTAAGTAACTTGCTTAAAGTTACTTGCTTAAACTTGCTTAAGTAATATGCTTTCTGCTGTTTGGGCAGTTGCATCTTTCTCTCTTGAGGACCTGTGGAGAAGAGCCCCTTCACCAAATACTACACATTAGCATACTACTCCACCATATCCAACTTCTGACTTAGGTGAAAGTCCACTAACATCATCGAACCAGGAGGCAACGTCAGGACATGAACTCAGATCTCACGCTTCCTGGGCCTTTGCTTTCCCCACGTGCTATGACGATGGCACCAGCGGGTGACCAATCTGGGCTTATAACTTCAACCAAGTCCAGGGCTTCTTCACACAATTGTGGAATTGAGGTCTGAAATTCTATCAGAGACCAAGGTCAGGGCGACAACAAAAAGGGCATGGAATCTGTAGGTTGCATAGCAGGCGGGGGCACGCATGGGGTTCACCTGTGTCCCATCTAACCGTGCAGCACTAACACAGATTGGGGCAGGTGTTGCAGCGAGACCTAAGGCTAGAAGTTTATTTTTTGTTCTCAGTCCTAGCAGAGATCAAAATAATATGCAGGAGCCATTTCTTTTCAAAGAGCTTTCAGACAATTTATTCTACGGGGAGGCCAACAGAGTGAGTCTCTTCTTCACACAGATTTCATAACCTATTTAAAAAAATATTTTTCTAATCCCCTCAGAGTGAAAAACAGGCAATTCTCAAACTGAAGATATGAGCTCTGAAGTGCAGACTTTGCTTGCTGTGGAAGGTATGAAGGCTTGTTCTTAAGTTTTTCTTGTGTTTATTTTCAGTTGTCACAGCACAGAATGTTCCCTCTGACAAGGTCCATTAAGAGAGACTGTGAAATATGAATACAGCTGATCTGGACCACAGAAGGAAAACTTGGTTAACCGTATAGAAATAGTGGCTTCAACTATCAAATTATTTTGCTTCCAGCCAAGTCAGATCGCAGTCTGTTTTCTCCTCCAAGCAGCCTGCTCCTTTGAGGAGGTAAGAACAAAATGGGATTGCAACCTACAACATAAGTGCCCAGCCTTCCTTCCCAGAAAGAGCTTCTCTGGCATTCCACACAGGCTTACATACAACCTGGATGCTCACTCTTCCGAGAGAAAAAAGTGAAAGCCGCATCAGCGTAACTGAAAACATGAATATTATACCCCCACGGTTATTAATACATTATCATAATCTCATGGCAAGTGAGCACTAAATTAGGAATGCTGTTTACAAAACCTGTTATTTCCAACTCTGGTGTCTCACAACCAAAATGAAATTATTTTCCACTTGTTTGTAAGCTCCTAATATATTTTGTTCAAAGCACTTTAAAATGTAAGAGAACCTTAAAAAGTGAACACAGGTTGGTAAGTCAATAAAATCACTATTCACATAGCTGAAAGATTCTCATACCCTGATTTATTTTGGTAAGTTCAGATAGGCTCTAATTATTTGGTAATAATATAAACAGACTGTTTAGAAATGACAGATATTTGATGCATAAAACCCACTGTTAGGATGTTCAATACACTGGCTCTTTGAACATGAGAATTAAGAGGCAAAACGTCAAGTCCATTGCTATAACATACCGGATTTACATTTTGTTTTTCAAGTTGTGTCATCCCTACAAGGAAGACTAAGGCAACACCAAAAGCAGGCAGAGAATAAAATAAGGATACAAGGAAAAAAGGAACGGGCCTCCTTTACCTACCAGTAAGTACCATATGCACGGTGAGACCCAGGCCGAACACCAATCTGTGCTGAAAAATTACGGTGAGCTCCCCCCACACATGTATTTCCACAACTTAATTATTTTAAGTTTCTTTTCCACACAGACTTTCCTTCTGAGGCTAAAAGAGGGACCCTATCTGCTTGCTTTCTATGCCCCAACTCCCATCACAATGCCAAGCACATATTAGGTGCTAAATAACTGCGTAATTAAAAATCCCTCCATCTGGGACATCTCTAGGAAAAGTCTAAGTGGGTTGTCTTTAGCACTATATCTCCACAATCAAAATCTTCCCTCAAAGAAAAAAAAATCACTTAGCAAATATTTCTAACTTCATGTAAATATAAGGCAATAGAAATGGAAAGCGTCATTTCCTGTTAAAAGTATTTTAAGTATTAATGAAGAGAGACAGGGAAATTTGGAGAAATGAAGAACACATCTCATTCCCCAGAAACCGTGTCATCTGGGTGGTGACAGGTCTATCCTATAAACCCCATTTGACGTATGGAGAAAATGAGGCCTGGAAAAGTAAGACACATTCCCAAAAAGGTCTCCTCTTCCTTTGGCTTTCATGGGGACAGAGGTAACTTTCCTAACAGCCTGTGTTTCAGCTCAGTCAGGTTCAACTGCATTGTCCTGAGAGAAGATGGATGGGAACCGGGAGACTCACCACTGACTGGAGCATTCCCTGCTCTTCTTCTATGGGGTTTTATTCCTATAATCAGGCCCATGCATGTATTCAGATGACAATCTCCTGTCCACATGCAGACCCCCTGCAGTGACGAGTTGGGAAGAGAAGCCCTGACTCTATTAACAGCAGGCTTCACTCTGAAACCAGGGCAGAGACCTGCACCTGCCCTCCATCTGGGTTGGGAGTGATGTGCACCCAGTTGGGGATTCTTGAAGCTGAGGGTCCCCTGTGGTTCAGAAACAGGACCAGAAGCCGAAGGCCAGCTGTCAGGACACCAGAGCCAGGACCACGCTCCTCCTCCTTCCAAGAAACCAGATGCTGATGGGATCCCAGAGCTGGAAGTCACTTCATTATTTTGGGAATGCATCTTTCATTTCACAACTGGTAAAGAGAATTTTATATGCAAAGTCCCAGACATGGAATTCATTGCAATGCCTAACAAACTACCCCTGAATTCTTCTTTTCACTGATATTCTCAATTTGTTATTCCACAGATACAAGTTTCTGGATTAATTGTTCTTTTTTACTCAAAAAAGTGGTGTGTTATTACCAGAACACTGATTTTATCAATCTTGACTGTAGCACTGCCTTTATGTATATTACAACAGCCAAAATATTCTCTGCATTTCCACTGCTTCAAAATTAAGTTTGGAATGATTACCTGGACTGAATCATTTTATAAAAAGGGTTTTAAGTCCACATGTGTAACAGCACCCGGATATAATTCTCTAGGAAGAGAATTCCTATTTTATTTATTTATTTATTTTTTTGCAAACAATTTTAGAGGCAGGGTGTTAAACTGATTGAAATTTCACGAGATTGACATTATTGCTTAAAGTGCTTGAATTGGTTACATTAAAAAAAAATTAAGGTACAGATCATTTTAAATAAAAACTACAACTTTTTTTTTTAAGCAACAAAATCAAATGAATGCCACACAAATACAATAACTATTTTGGTTACACAGAAATGGAAGCCAAAAATAAATTAATGTAATACCGGAAAACAGGAATTTAATTAGGCAGAAAAGTAGGAAATAATTTTCCCTGACCCATGCCATTTACATGAGTTAATCACAATAATGCTGATAAGTGCCTTGACCACATAATAGCAAACGAGGGCAAAACATTTAATGCACAATATTTTAATACACATGAATATACAAAGTTGATCAAAATGCAATGTTTAAAGATAAAATCCATCTGTAATAAAGCTACACTCCAATATCTAAAATAAGCCCTAAGCTCCAGTTAGAACATAGTTCCTTGTTAGGCATGCCCATGAAATTTAGGGTATCCATGAAAATAAATGCATAGGGACCACTTCTGTCATTTTTTTCCCATTTCATCTTAAATCCAAAATATACCAGTCCATAAAATCAAATATGATGGCTTCCTATTCAAACCAACGCCCAGCTTGTGTTGTTCCTTGCGCTCTTCACACTAGTCCATATTGCCTTGGAAGGAAAATGCACCCATATAACAGGATTAGGATGTCAGCATCTTACCAAAACTTACTTTTTAACAAATGACTTTTTAGCATACTGTACCATCATCTAGATGCTCAACTAGTAAGTAACCAATAAAGCAGATATCTGTTTTCTTTTTCAAGTGTAAAACACTATAACTTATTTTAAAACACCCAACAGTTAAAGGAAATACAGCAGGCCTACTCGCTCCTGCAGGAAAATGACACACCCGCACCCTGGCCATTGGAGGGATATTGCTGAGCCTTTTTGCTATAGTTGACCTCAGAATGGGCTCATACATCCCACACCAAAGGGATGAAAAAATTTAAAAAGTGTTTGCATGCTACTGTCTTTACATAAAGAGAAATGGTTGGGGGGGAAATGTAGCTGCCTACTGTTTGCTTCATTTATTGAAGAGGAAGTGGGGAAAAAAAATATCCAATAGCTCTAAATTTTAAAAAACTAATGGTAGAAAGTGCATTTTGGTCTTTTTCCAATCTTCTTTTCCTGTATCATGGAACTGTTTTGTCTTTGCAATATTTTCCATACTTATCTTTTTTTATTTCAGAAATCTACCCATGAATACTGAATTTTAACGATGCTTTCTATAAGAGGAATTTCTTCAGTTACGTCACTGGGAAAATCTCTTTATACGTCTAACCAAATTTTAAAAAATGTGCTCAACTTATTATGACTCAGCATTTAAATATTACTTCTATAGGCTTCCAATTGAAACATTGTTTTTCTAATAAATTAGCTTCAAGAGTCATTTCATAGATAATTTTAAGTTTTTTCTTATGAATCGGTACCAAATATATTAGAGATCAACTATCATTTTCTTAAACTTTGTAATGTGCAGTCAAATATATGGGTCATATACAGTACAAATATTTCCCTATATCACCTTCATTTGGAAAGTGCCTCTCCTTAAAAAAAGAATAAAAGACTCACCTTCTAGGTAAGTGATTACTGTATATGTTTCATGGAGGAAAAAAGGCAAAATATTTATAAATATGAATTTGCCTCTAAACAAGGCAAGGTACATTTTCGTCACTTGTATAAAACAATAGCATGAAGCTCACCCTGTTTTGTCTTCTCCAGTGAAAAGTAAAACATTTCACTTCAAGCATGAGCAAGTGAAGTGGTGGCATGCTTATTTAGGTTCTGAGCAACAAACAGTTCGAGATATTTCAAAGATAAGAAATCCAGTTTTCATCTAGATAAAGTGCTATCCTCTTCATTGTTGCAAAATGGCCACTAACATTTTCAATTTCAATTTTAGTTCACATTATGCCAAAAGTTTGCGCATTTGTTCATGGATGTACTAAGTAACAAAATAAGACGTTCACAGTATATTATAGTGTTTGGAAGTCAACAGACTTCCCAAAGGAAGCCAAGATCTATGATTCATAGTATTCGTAGGAAATCAAAAAACCAGCTCAATGGCAAAACAGCAAATCGACCCTTTGAATAAAAGGTACCAATACTCAAATGCGCTAATAAATATATATATATAACAAAAGTGAGAAGAGTAAAAGTAACTATAGTGAGATGAGGTTCTTCCAAAAAACTGTCTTGTCAAGCATTCTAGGAGTCTGAGCTAAGGAAATAGCCGCTGTTTTGTCCATTCCTCCACCTGCCACTGACACCTCCTGTGACCCACCTTCACACCCAGCTAACTTCAGGATCCCCTCGAGGGAAGGTTCCATTTAGCCCTGGGACCCACCAGTGCCTCAGTAAACAGGCTGAATATATTTGAAAAAGTAAGTTGTACGAGGCGGCTGACAGTTGCAAAGGTGCAGTTCCTCCTTATAAGAGCGATGTCGGTGCTGACTGGCTAAGGACAGCTGTGCCAGAGGCAGCCGACGTGGGGCCTCAGCCCTGCAACCACAGACTGCAAAACATCAGCAGGATTGGAAAGATACCTTGAAAGGCATAGTAGTGCCAGATACAGGATAAACACAACTCACAGGACCTTACAGAAGGAAAGTGTCACTAAAAATAAACAGCATAGGGTTATTTTCCTGAAACTTGGTTTTGGTAGAAAGATAAGAAAAGTAACTTTTCACTGTCCGCAAAGACTTGTTCCTCTTGGCTTTGCCTGCCCTGAGCTCCATACCTTCTAAGCCCCTGGAATTCTAGCGCCGGGTAAGCACAGCCTGGTGCAGACGCTAGCCACCAGGAACAGCTTCTCTTCTCCCTGGTCCACGTGGAGGATGATTTTAGTATCGAGGTTACTCACTTTTAAACATTTTCACTTGCACAAACTTAAAGCTATGGTTGCAGCCCTAAAAGGTGAACATCTACCCAATTCTTCTGTCCTGCTGTCTGAGAAGAGGCAGAGGAGCTACAAATGGGTAGCAGTGCTTCCAGAGAGACAAGTTAAAGGAATGCATTGTAAGAAGACCCTGGAAGCCATTTAGGAAGTTTAGCAAACACCCAAAATAGACTGTAGACATTCATAGGAAATGTCATTCTAATTCAGCCAGACATAATGAGTGGCATAGCATTCATACAATCCTAAAATTAGCAACTGTTATTCATACAAATCTTACTACAATCTGATTGCAGTTAACTCTACCTCAGACCAAAATAAAACCAAGAGTAGTGCTGTATGTAAAAAAACAAAGGAGCAAGTCCAACACAGCCAGACCATGGAGACTTGGAGTGATACCATTAGTGGGCTGCTGGGGAGGAAGATCTGCAGAGAAACCAGTAACAGTGCTTTGAACATTTCCCCCCACCAGAATTAGTTCCATAGTTCTTGAAGTTATTCTCTTGACTGATAGAATAAAATATACCCAGATTCTGAATTTTTTGATATATCTGACGTCAGGCCATAGAATTCTTCAATAGCTTGAGCATCTATTTTCTGTAATAAAGGAGAATAGAACAATACAATTATTTAACATGATTCCTGGGAAAAGCAAAGAAAAACGGAACACACAATAAGACGAAACATTGGTTATAAAATCACAATTAGGAACTTTCAATAGCAAATGGATAATTCCATAGACTTGACAGAGAGACATCATTACATAAATTGCAAATTTGGGGGGAAGGAAGCCACTATTTCATCAGCAGTCATATGTGGGCACTCTTTGAGGAACCAGGGCTTCTATCTTTCACATAGTAAACTGGAGGGTCTTAGGAATAATCTTAATTCTTTCAGGCCACCAGAGTTCACTTGCTTGAGTGTTATTCCATTAAAACAGTTACACTACTGGATTAAAATAGAACATGCCTTTGAATGTATAATTCACTCCACTAGTATTCCTTTACTGCAACATCAATATATGGAATACTTTGGTGTAATATAAAGATTTTCACATCCAATGAACTGAAATATATATATATTTTAAACAATAATCAATACAAGAAAAATTTGTTATAAGAAAATAATTTTAATAGAACTTAGAAGTCTATTATTTGCCATGTACCGGCCAAGAGGGATTTAGTCATGGTAGGAAACAGGATTTTAAGCATATAAATATGATTTATGGTGGCAGAGAGATATAGAGATCCTACGTCTATGGCTGATCAGTTAACTTAACAAGAACACAGTATCACTGATCATGCCCTTTCTCCCTTTTCAAGGAGAATGTGGATTGGCAGAATTTAGTTTTGATATAAATGTAAGTTGTTTTCAATCAGATTATGGGAAAACAGGTCTGTTTTAGAAAATGTCCACACATACACATCCCACAAATACTGTCTCAGCCATATGCCCATTGGAGAATAATCTGCATACCAACCTCTACAATGTCATCATCAAACAAAAGCCAAAAGCCATGACTTTTCACAATAGTAATATAATGCCCACGATTAGGACCACTGGAAAAGAAGAAACAAAAGAAAGTTACCATATACTTCTTAAGACTCTACTTAGTTTTTTATAAGCAGCGATTCACTAAGGGAAAAAACTACGTCATCAAGATGAAGAACTTGGTGTAGCTCATGTCCATGCCCACAATTTACAGAGGAGTACTAGATGCCTGCACCGTGCTGGACACAAGGGAATACAAAAGTGTACAGAAGAGATCTGTCTAAGGACTCACATCCAGTGCAGAAAACTGACATTCAAATTCAGCAAATATTAGCAAATCAATTACTGTATGCCTACTATGTGCCAGGCCCTATTCTGGCTGTCAGGGAAAAAAAGCAGTGAAGAAAACAATAAAGGCCCACTTCCTTGTGACTTGGGGTGGGGTCTGAATAGACAATCAACAAACTGCACAAGTAAATATCTGTCAAGTGGTATTAAATGCCATGAGAAAAATATGGAACAATGAGTGAGGGGAAGGTTCTACTGCAAACAAAGTGGTGAGAGGAGCCTCCCTGGTAATGTCGAGATTTGAACATAAGGAAATGGGGGACAAGGGGAGGAGACAAGCCATGTGACCCTATGTCAGAAGTTTCAGGAACAGAGACTAGCAAGAGCGAAGGCCCAGGCTGGGGGCAGCACCTGGTGTTCACAGCAAGGAGGCAAGAGTCGCCCGAGCCCAGTGAGCTAGGCGAGTGGAGGGGAGAAGACCAGAGAGGTGCTGAGGGGCAGATGGCGTGGGGTGTCATCATGGGTAAGATCTGAGAACTTTGCTGTGAGTGAGCTGGGAAGACACAGAAATTTTGAGGAGTGGTATGATCTGATTAAAGTTTTTTTTTTTTTTTTTTTTTTAAAGATGACCGGTAAGGGGATCTTAGCCCTTGACTTGGTGTTGTCAGCACCACGCTCAGCCAGTGAGCGAACCGGCCATCCCTATGTGGGATCCGAACCTGGGGCCTTGGTGTTATTAGCACCGCACTCTACCGAGTGAGCCACGGGCCGGCCCCTGATTAAAGTTTTAAGAAGATTGTTAACAAGGGTTAGCTCAGTTGGTTAGAGCACAATTTTGTAACAGCAAGGTCATGGGTTTGGATCCTCATACCAGCCAGCCACAAAAAAAAGAAAGATGTTAACAAACCATAATGCACAGTAACAAGTGCTAAAATAAAAAGGAACATACCACACTATTGGTAAAAAGTAGAACAAATAAACAGCTATTATTTGGTTATATTACATTTGTACTATTAAAGGGACTTTAATCCTAAATCTAGAGTTTTGATTTGTTTTTTGCTGCACCATTAAATTTGAAAAGCTAAATTTCCCCCCTAGTTTGCCTTTGTTAAAAACAAAATGATGTGAATGATCTGTTTCTGCCTTTTTCCAACCTCATCCAGCTACTCTTTCCCTCTCCTCTGAGCTCCAGCCCACTGGGCTCCTGTGTTCATACATATCACCCCTTCCCGTGTCAGGCCTTTGCACCTGCCATAACTCTGCCTGAAATGATTCCAACTCAACATATGCATTATTGGCCCATTCTATCCTTTAGGTCTCAGCACGAATGTCACCTCCCCAAATAAACCTTCGCTGACCACCTTACCTGATAAGCTATCTCCCATGACTCCCTCATCTCCCTGTTTACTCCTCATGGCACTAATCAAAATCATAAGTTATCTTGCAATGGTTTGTTTTTGGTGGTGGCAGGCTGGTGTGTTTTCTTGTTCACTTGCAATCTTCCCCACTGGATCCTAAGTTACATGAGGGCAGGAACCCTGTGCTGGGCCTTTTCACTACTGTATCATCAGATGCTAGCATGGAACACAGGAAACAAAAGCCCAGAGCAACCTAGTGGCAGCAATCAGTGTGTGAGGCTGTGCACCCACTGTCACTGAAGGTCCTGGCTCAGCAGGGATGAAGGGATCAGCTCCCTGACCTCAGAGCCACACCTGGAAGCCACCTGATCCCCACACACAGGCCAGCCCTGCTCCACGTATAAGATCAATCCTACCTCTGAGGAGAGGGCTTGGAAGAGTCCTAATCAGCAGCATGTGTGACTCGATACCAACTCACACCTGCTGCCAGGGCTGCTCTGACCTTATGCCCCATTACAGAAACTGATGATTCCAGAACCCAATCTCCCACTGGTCCCCCAGTTCCTCTAAATGGGCCTCTGCATTGCCCTCACTAGTCCTCCCAGGGATTAGAATTGGCACCCAAAGAGATCCGCAACGAAAGTCTTCGTGTACCCTGCACACAGAGTGCTTGTTTCTTTCCCCCTCTCCCAGCCTCCCAGGCACACTTTCTTGTCCACACCACCACCGCCCACCTTGGCCATGATGCCCCCCAGGCATGAGGCTCTGTCTCTAACCCTACCGCAGCATAGGGCCTCACCCAGTGTTCGTGACTAGGTTCCAGATCACTGGAACCCTGGTTCTTTAAAAGAACTATTCTTTAGGTAGAACACAAAGCTGGCTTATAACTGGCCCTTAAATATAACTTAAGAAAATATCCAGCAACTTAAAGTTAATACGCATGACAAAAGATGGGGTGCTTCAGATACGAATTTACAACTTCTGCCACTATCTACCCTCGTATGGAGTGAAAGACAAATCAATCCATCCCTCCGCATGGTAATGGTATCCTCTTGGTAATGGAGCATTCACCCTAATCCAATACTAACAGATGCAGAAAAAAGGACATTTGCTCTACAATGTGCCCCAATCTAAAGCCTACAAGGGTGGGGGAAAGCTGTTCCTATCCCGGGAGAGAGCATAAACCCATCCCAATGGAGCAAAGGTGAATTTTCAACATACTTTTCCATGCTTCTACCAAATTACGGAATAAAAAAATATTTGCTCAAAGGACTTTCAGCAAAACACTTTGCTTCTCCACATCTAAAGGCCTTCTCTCTCTTATTCTCTTTTTTCTGATTATATACTAATACAGAATGTTGGGAAAAGACTGAAAATTGCATAAAGAATATTTAAGAATGTATTTTTAATCACTCAAAATGCCACAAAATTATTAAATTTGACCTACTGCTTTATTCATACATCTTAAAATACTTTTGAGATCTTACTATATATGCAAACTGGCTTTTTAAAAATTAAAATCATAGCATAACATTTATTTCTCCATGTTATTTCAAATCTATCCAATGGAGATTTATTAAATTATTTCCCTTACAATGGAAATTTTTGTTTCTTTTTAAAAGATGACCAGTAATGGGATCTAAACCCGTGACTTGGTGTTGTCAGCAACACGCTCTCCCAAGTGAGCCACGGACCAGCCCCTAAAGATTTTCTTTTTTAGTTTTGCTTTGGTTTGGCAGATAGCTGGCTGGCTGGTAAGCAGATCCAAACCCTTGACCTTGGTATCATCAGCAACACGCTCTAACCAAGTGAGCTAACTGGTCAGCCCAGAAATTTTAGATTATTGCTATTCTATTATAATACTATTTATTTTATGTGTATCTGTAGGTGTGTTCATAAATATTTTTAGATGATATATAAACAAGGGTTTGGAAGAGATTCCCAAAAGAACTGAATGTCACAGCACAGTAAGGGTGCAGCTGGGGGATACTTCAGTGAAGGGACGACCCAGACGCTTATCTTGTGCATGTGCTTCCCAGCCTGCCTTACCTGCCACAGTGAACAACCACGGCGACCAGATCATACATGCGGTCCAGGTTCACTGCATCGCTGGAGGTGTTGAAGAGCCGGAGTTCCAGAGGGAAGACCACCCGGTAAGATAGCTTGGTGTACCTGTGGAGCTGCTCCATGTACTTGAACCGCTTTAGGTGTAGGGCCAAAATCATGGGCAGCTTTTTTACTCTCATCCTAAGAAACCATCAAATAGAAAATGAGTTGTATCCAACGCCTGTTAGGGGAATAGACTACACCATGACCCTCACAAATGGAGAACAGGAAGAGGTCTAACAAACTTCAAAACAGCAAATAACCAAACAGTTCACAAGAGTAAAAGTATGCTCACTTATTAGAGCTGACGTATCCTGCATCCCAGACTAACGGGAGCATCACCAGCGAGAGAGAAGTACAGGAGTGTCTCTGCTTGGTCAAAGGAGATGTTCCAGAATTTGTGTATCAATAAAAATGTGATGTGCAGCTGCTCCCCATCGCTGCTCTCTGCCTCCCAGAGAGGAACAGTATTTGGACAGTCCACTCCCTGAGATAATGAAGAGGAGGACTGAAAGCCTTGAAGAAAAGGAGCTGGGAAGAGCTCTAGGTGAAAAGGTACAGTCTGGATTCACAGGTCCTGAGGGCGGGCAGGAGGAGGCTTCTGCACACAGCCCTGGGCACCGGGACATGCAGCATGCCAGGCTCGCTCTGGTTCCTTCCTCTTGTGGTCTTAGGCAAGTGACTCCCTTTCTCTGGCTCTCCATCTCCTCATTTATAAAATGCAAGGATTGGCTCAGAGCTACGTTTCCCAAACTGGGCTTTTGAGAGCACTAGAAATGTTAACAGATGTGAGGTTTCTATGGCCAAGTAAATTTGGACAATGCTACTTTCTACTTTGAAGATCCTCCATGTACCATAGCATACCGAAGGTTTTGAGAAATCCTGCAGTAAAATAACTGTTCTGTTTTGTATGATACAGCATTTCTCAAACTTATATAAACACAAAGTTTTTTTTTCCACCAGATGACCAGTAACATTTCTTGATAAAAAGTCTTGAGGGTAACAGTTTATGTAAATAACACTGCTAGAATAGAGGGTCTTCCAGTTACCTTCCAGTCCCCCATTCCATGAATATACTGATTAGTGTAAATGCTGTTCAGCCTGTGTACATTTTCAATGCATATTATTTAAAAAGGACAAATTTTAAAAGAGTATCATTCAGAAATCTATTAAGGTTAAACCCTGTTCATAAAAATAAGCAAAATAAAAACACCAATAGAAAGATAAGAATTATGAGGAACCCCATATTTTACAGGAACACATGACATCTTAAAGTATAAAACCTCTAGGGCTGAACAAAATATACCTTAATGCCACAAAGGAAGATCTGGGGCTGGCCTGAAGCAGACTGAGATCACAGGAATGGGGAGTAGAGGCGAGTACCTGTCCACTAGCAAAAGACATCCACCTGTCACCTCCACTCCTGCCGCTATAGTGACTAACCTTTTGTAAGTTTCGATGCAGCAAGGAAAGAAGTACCTGTCTGGAGTGCAGGGCTGGGAAGGCTGGGCAGAAGAATTATTCTAGACCCTGGAGGGTTTTAGGCGACAGTATTGAGCAGCTACCAGGGTATCTAGAATACTCCAGAACCATTGGCAAGATAAATGTAACTTATAGTAAGGATTCACAGAATGATTAAAATGTCAAGTTTCTTGGCTTCTGGGAGTAGATACTGGGGAACAACTGGTTATCTCAGATTGTCTAAGAGCTATAACTAGCTAGTGCTGGTAAAAATACAAGGAACCTTGAGCCCTCTATCAATTCAGAATGCAATAACTTTCTTATCATCTACCTCTACAACTGATGTGTTATTGGTTCCCTTGTGATTCCTTATTAAATGATACATTTTTTTTAACCTCCATCTCAAAATAAGAAGTCCCAATGTTTAAGTAAAACTAACAATAATATTGGGTGTCTACTATGTGTTATGTACTGTGCTAAGTACTTGATACAATTTACCTTTAATCCCAAGAGGACAGTGATTATATTTGATCAGCATTTGTTTACTTAGCACAGTATCTGGCCCATAACAGCACTCAATAAATATCTGTTGAATGAATGAGTGAATGAATGAATGAGCAAACAATTGGACAAACGGACAACCCTGCAAGGTTGGTGTTCTACTGGTGAGGAAGGTAGCTGACTTCCCCAAAGCTCTGTGAGGCTATAAGCCCATGAAGCTGAGATTCAAAGCCAGATCTGCAGGGCTCCCCAGTCTGGTTCCTTCTCACTACCCAAAGGCACTGCCTGAGCTAAATCCTTTACGTACCTTTTCTGGGCCTCCTGTTTGCTGCAGCATGTTTCACAATAATATTTTTGCTCACTGCATAGTGTTTCTGTGTTGCTGAAGTCTCTGTGGAGAAAAATATTTTCATCTTTTAAAAACTCCAAACATACTTGGTATTACCATGTTTTAAACCTTTCTATTACCTGTAGAGTAATTTTTAAGTGAATGATGGAGAAAGAAGTAATCAGAAAAGGTCCTTCTTTAGACTACAGCTATTAAGCCGTTAGAGTACATTTACTGAACAGGCTCTTTTCACAGGGTTAGGAATTCACCATGAGAGATTTGCAAACACAGCTTTAGTTAATGGGACAGACAGATATAGACTGGGGTTTCCAACTGATTCAGAAAAAAATTCAGGATTCAACAGAGAACATGTATAAGCTGGAAATTAAAAATTATAATAGGAAAATATTATCTATAGTAAAAGCCTACCATAGACTATGTCAGTCCAGAAAAATCAATCACATAAAATGCAAGGTGACATTATTTTGCAGTTAATAAAAAACAGTACATCTCTGGTGGTACATATTTTCAAAGAGCAGAAAAGTAAAGACAGTGAAATTTAAACCATACACAACTGCCCTTATACTGCACTAAGAAAAACCCAAATTATCAGGAGATAACCGCCTCCTACCATCCCCTGTACTTGGACCCCACACCTTGCCAGAGGATAAGAACTTCAGCTTGCTTCCTTCCAAGAACAAAAGCCATCGTGTCTGATATATGTGTATTTGCCTTATCACGAGGTTTTACTCTGGTACTTATAGTTTTCATTTTTTAAATGTCATGGCTTTTCATTCTTTTCCGGTCATCGAGATTCTACTTAACATTTCTGTGGTATTGCTTCAAAGGCTGAAAAGAACATCCAGAACATAATACCCTACAGTTTTTAAAAAGTCTGTGACATTTACTTGGTTGTAGAGTGTCCCAGGCTTAGAACGATCAGATTTTATTAAATAGAAAACGTTATTTGAATGGTGTTAATGACTCTACCATTTACACAGAACATGTCAAAAGGAAACACAGATTATTGTTCATTCATTTAATCCCTAAATGTTTACTGACAGTGCTCTAGGCTAGGTCCTGGGGATCCGCAGAGACAAACTGCCCTCATACAGCTCATGTCTAACAGAGACACAAGCAAATGAACCACGGACAACATGAAGCATTCAGTGCAGCTTAAGCAGTGCACGATTCCCCTGCCTACAAGGCTCCAATAGTTTCCCGGTATGCGTAGGAATGAACACCAAACTCCTTTCCATGGTCCACAGGTTGTGGTCACAGACCCCTGCCTGCTCTTCTGACCTCATGTTCTACTCCACCCTGCACCCTTCTCTCTCCTCCAGCCACACTGGCCTTGGGCTATGCTCTTTCTGCCACAGGGCATTTGCAGGGGCTGTTTTCTCAGGACCCAGAGCTCCTGCCCAGAGGCTTCCATGACTTCTTCAGAGAGGACCTTCCTGACCACTCTATCCAAACCCACTCAGCCCCTATCATGCAGCTGTTTTGTTTTCTTCCAAGCACGTATCCCTATCTGAAACCATACCTCCCTCTATGTAGGCAGTGACTTTGTCTCACCCACTGCTATAGCCCCTGCCTGACACACAATGGCACTCAATAATATTTGTTGGCTGAACAAATGAGTGAACAAAGACAGAAGCAGGTCTAAAGTCCAGAGGAAAGCAAAGAGGAAAGAAAAATGAACTTGAACTGGGGTAATTCAGGATGTTTTCCCCAAGGGGCAATGTCCAAGTCAGGCTCTTAAAGAGGAAAAGCATGCCAAGTGGACAAGAGTCGAGGATTCCAGACAGAGGGAACGCTGCAATTCAGAGGGATGGAGGGAGGACACAGATGCTGGGTGTGTGGGAGGGACAGCAGCAGCAAGTCATGCAGACTCGAGGGCACTAAGAAGCTGGTGGGGGCCCTGTGGCTCTGGAGCCCCCTAATGGGTCTCAGCAAGGAAAAGACATAATCAGACAGTGCTTTTTAGAAATACCACTTGGACAGCTCTGTGGAGGAAGGAATGGAGGGGGTCAAAAGGCAAGAAAACCATTTAGAAGACAGTTATACTCAACTTTCAGATTTCAAGTGCTTGGTGCTTAAACCAGGCTCGAACTTGGCTGAAAGAATACTTTGATGGAGTAACTGCTGTGAAAGCTTTCCTTGGCCTGCACAGGATTGACTGGTGTGGAGTGGGGGAGCCAGGCATGGCGATGGTGGAGATTCATATCCTTGGAGTGTCCACTGCAGAAAAACTCTTCATCCAGCAAAAGGATTGTAATAACCAAGAAAAGCACAGCCATGAGTGGTTTCTACTCACTTTTATTTCCCCCAAAAAGTTTTTGGAAGCATTTGTAGACCCAGATAGGTAGAAATACAGCAGAAGTTAGTACCTAATTTAAAGACTCACTTTACCAATAAACACCATCCTGCCCAGCCCCACCGGGCTGTAAGTTCACTGCCACAAGAGACAGGGTAATGCTTTTATGGCATTTATGGATTGATAATTGGAAAATGAAAGTAAGTCGGGAAAAGGGAATGACCCCAGCAGTAAACTTGGAGGCAGGGAAGGTCTGTCAGTTCACGGCAGACAGTTGTTGGAAGAAAAGTAGGCAATGAAAGTTGAGGAAAACTTTTCAAGAAGAAAGTCAAAGGGAGGAAAATGGTAGAGAAGTCTTTCCAGCACTTGGGATAAATGACCAAAGCACAGAGAAGAGGGTAAGGGTAAAGCACAAATCTCCTTGTACTTCTTCAAAAAGTTATAGTAGCAATAAAACATTATTAAAAAGTCCACTCTTGAGGGGCTGGCCAGTTAGTTCAGTTGGTTAGAGTGTGGTGCTGCTAACACCGAGATCCAGTGTTCGACCCCTGTACTAGCCAGTTGCCAAAAAAAGAAAGAAAAAAGAAAAAGATACACTTTGGGAAAAAAATCTAATAAGAAATACCTGCCTTTATAAAAGAAACTACAAAACGTAATAGACATGTACATAAGAAAACCTGAAAAAATGGAGAAAGACTGTGTTCCTGGATGGCAAGGGTATCATCTATTATAAAGAGAGTGATCACATCCAAGTTAATGTCTATGGGTGATATATTTTCAATTAAAATTTTAACTTTCACTCAACATAACAGTTCAAAAATTGAGTTAAAAAAAATTCTCAAGCAATGCTTCCTGATAATTTTCATGTCATGACCCACATAGAAATGGACACTGTAGGGCCGGCCCGGTGGCGCACTGCTACAGTGCGCCGCTTGGGAAGCGCGGCAGCGCTCCCGCTGAGGGTTCGGATCCCACATACAGACCGGCTGCTCACTGGCTGAGCGAGGTGCGGGAACGACACTGAGGGTTGCGATCCCGTTGCCGGTCCCGGTCCGGTACGGGCGCGACACTGAGGGTTGCGATCTGTTGCCGGACATGAAAAAAGACAAAATATATATATATATATATAAAAAACTAAGTTGAAATATCTGAAGTCAGGTTCTATATGTAATAGCCAATGCACCAGCTCCTGTGGCTGGCCATGGGGCTCTGCCAGTGCCAGGCCCTGCCCAACCTCCTAAGAGCAGAGGGGATCGATACACACCTGTAGCCCATTTCCCCGAACATGCCAGTTAAGAAGCTTCATTCTAGAATCTAGAGCAGTGGTTCACCTCCTGGCTGCTCATTAGAAGCACCTTGGGAGCCTTAAAACCATCTCAATACCCAAGCCCTTCCTCCTCCTACTCCACCCCCCCCCCATTCAATTACATCAGAATTTCTCCAAGTGGAACCCAGGCATTATTGTTTTTAAAACTTCCCAGGTGGTTCCAAGGTGCTGCCAGGGCTGAGAACTGCTGTTCCGGTGCTTCCCAAATGCTAGCATGCTTCTGAATCACCTGGGAGTCTTGTCAAAATGAAGATTCTGAATCATTCTTAATCAGGACCTTAGACTCTGCATTTCTAATGAGATCCCAGGAGATGTCAACAGTGTTAGTCCAAGGACCCCCGCATGCCTAGCAAAGATCTAGAGAGTGGCTCTCAGACTTGGGTGGTTATCAGAACCCCCCAGAACATTAATTAAAAATAGAGGCCCAGACTCACTGAAGTTTTTAGACTGTGGCCTGTGCTTCTAGTTTTATCAATTTCCCCAGGTGATTCTGATACACACCAAAGTTTGAGAAGCACTGAGTATTAAAGAAAATTAAAAAAAAAAAAAAAATCCACAAAGTGCCTATGTCAGATACTAGAAAATATCAATAACCACAACGGAAAAACAGGTCCGAGAAACAGAATAGAGGAACCAATAGATAAGCATGTGACAATGGATGTGTGGGGGGCATGCACATGAACTTAGCACACAGGAGAAATTTTTCAAAATAAGTAGAAAAAGAATTTCTTTAAAAGAAGATTAATTTTTCAGATAGAGCTTCAGGAGAATTAAGAGGCTGCTTTCCTCCTAACACCTGGCTGACCTCCCCAGCACTGGGAGATTGGGAATTTTAAATGAAAGGCAGATGGAGGAAGGGGAACGTGGTTTTAGAACACTGAGCACTTTGAGGAGAAAAGTGAGTTTCTGTGAAGGAGCCACAGGGAGGGACTAGGGCACTCAAGCAGGAGACAAAAAAAATATCAAAAAGGCCACGCAAGGATAATTAAAATAAACATTGCTTATTTTAAGTTTTTGCCTGAGGCCATCCCTGACTTTTCAAAAGGAAAATAAATCTTTCTTTCTCAGTATCCTCCTATGACACACATGGCTTACCTTGCCAAAAACACAGTTCTGATGTTTAAAATGTTAGAACTGCAGCCGGGCTACAATATGGATTTAGTGGCTTCTCTGGACCTTTGTCCTGAACTTAACCACTGCTTATATCACTTCTCTGGGACAAAAGTTCAACGACAATGCATTGTCACCTAAAACTCTTCTGGAAGAAAGCAGCAAAGATATCTGACCTTCAAATCCCATAATTTTAGCTTAATTTTTTTTTAAGTCATCAAAATAGATGAAAGAAATATTATCATATCAGAATAGATATGCAGACATGATGTTGAAGAAGAGAATTCATAATTCTAATTTTAAAACAAATCCTCAAGAATGCAAACCAAATTAAATAAACCATGAAAGGGCCAAGAAAAATGCTAATCATTTCTTCTCTGGGATGGATCGGCTGGAATTATTTGTTCCCTGGGTCTTTCTCCTGCACTTCCTTCTTTGGGGACAGGTTTGAAAACTGTCACCCTCATCGCAGAACTCTCAATCATGAATGTCAACACCTGACAGGCTTTTTTTAGATTTACGTGCATGTGTGGGAGCAGGGATAGGTCTAGTCTAGGAGTGATATAAAGTGGGGGGTGGCGGGGGCGGCGCTTCAGGAGTATCAGCGTGCACAGCCCAGTCAGAAGGGAACCTAATGCTGTTTAAAAGGCATCCAGAGGCTACGCCATACTCACCCATCCCAGCTTTAACACTTCTAAATGCCTCTACCCCGCCTTCATCAGGTATGCATGACCAATATATTTATTTCTCCAGAAAAAAAAATATGGGAACAAAAATCTGGGTTAAATTTCTTTACAACGCAGTTCCCCAAAGATTGAAAACATAAGTAACCACTTACTAAGCACTTTACTTGGTTGATTGCAAAGCTGCAACCACTGGCACCTGCCCTTTTAGAAGGGACGGAAGCAGTCAACCTCTCTAATTCCAAATTCTCACTGAGAGGGGGAATGAGCAAATAATGCCTTCTCCCACTCCCTCATCTGTGACTTAACTTCTTCTCCACCCTGAGATCATAAAACCTTGGGGAATTCAAAAATGGCTTCTTTTCACAGAAATGGTAGGAACCCATGCCATAAAAAGAACCATTCAGAAGAGAAAGAGGACATCTTGGCCTACAGAACACTTTGCAAGCAAAGAGATGACAAACTTGGCCTCGACACCTGGACCTAAGGCATCTGGAGACAGGAGCTGAAATGCCAGGCCAACAAGAAGCACTGAGATAACCAGCAGCGTGGGGCTGTCAGCGGGACGCTGGGAACCCTGGGAAGTGGGAGAGCAATCAGCCCCCAGCTCATACAACACGTCACACCCAGACAGACCAAGAAGCTCTTCCCAGCTGGAGTGGGTGCCTGTGCCCTGAAAGATGGCTTCCTAACAGTCAACCACCCCAGCATGTCCCTTTAATCTACTCTTCTGAAAAGTTCCAAGTCACCTGAACTCCTGAAAGAACAGTTCTGTCACCTGATTCTTACTGATAGAAATCAACAGTGCCTTGTTACACTATAAAATGTCTCTGGGTTGTGACACTCTGCACCTCAGGGAGGCCCTCCCTGACCGCTCAGTCTACACTGGCACCCCCACTATCAGCCATTTCATTTCCTTCAGAGTCACTGACCATCGCCTGTGTATTCCCACTAGAATGGAAGCCCTGCAAGAGCAGGGACCTTGGATGGTCGCTCTTTTAGAACAGGGCTGGGCACATTACAAGTATTCATGACCTCTTGTTGAAAAGAGGAGAGGAAGGAGGGAGAGAGGAGGGGAAAGGAATCATGTCTTTACAACAACTCTTTTTTTTTTTTTTTGTCTTTTGTCTTTTTCCGTGTCTGGCAATGGATCGCAACCCTCAGTGTTGCCCCCGCACCGGACCGGGGACCGGCAACGGGATTGCAACCCTTGGTGTTGCTCCTGCGCCTCGCTCAGCCAGTGAGCGGGAACCGGTCTGTATGTGGGATCCGAACCCTCGGGCGGGAGTGCTGCCGCGCTTCCCAAGCGGCGCACTATCCACTGCGCCACCGGGCCGGCCCTCTTTACAACAACTCTGATCGCAATTTCAATGCCTAAGTCAATACACAATATCTACAGTCAATACACAATATCTACAGTCATCCTGGGCAAGACTGTTGCTGCACGCTGGGCTCCTGACCTTCCCTCAACCCTAATGAGGAGGAATTTCTTTCTGTGAATGATCTCCACACATGCTAAGAAGGTGGAGGAAAAGGAAATTCCCTCATGGGTTCTCAGCTCAAACTGTATAATTTTTAAAATAATAGAATAGATTATCTTAGTAAAAGAAAAAGTAACGGTAGGCATCTGTAGTCTTTATTAACTTAATTGTATGATTGTGTGTGTGTGTGTGTGTGTGTGTGTGTGTGTGTGACAGAGAGAGGGAGAGACTGACCAACTGATGAAAGCCAAAAGCATACATCTGTATTAAAGATTAAAGTTTTATTTTTAAATTTAATGACTAATAACTTCCACTTGGTCCTCTCTCTTCTCAGCAGGACTCTTGTAGACCACATATACTTTTTAATCTCTCTCGGGAAAGAAGAAATAGGAAATAATAGGATTATACTGGTTTAAGAGAAAGGAAGATTATCTCCTAAAGACATACAAGATTTTATTTTCCTCATTATTTACCAGCCTGATCAAAAGCTCAAACCACAGACAGGATTCACAGTTACCTTAGACAGTGGGTAATGGATGTGTTCTGCTCCACATCAACAGAAAGGTCAAGAAAATCTTCATCTTTGCTACTAACCTGAAGCAAAAAAAGAAAAAATATATTAGGCACAAGATACACAAAAGACATAGTAGAAAAAACTTTGAACATTTATAGGTAATCAAAAAACATAACTGCAGTAAAAGTCATGTGTAGTTAAGTATACTCACCAGCAACCAGAGTAACCTCAGAAACAACCCAATCTAAAGAAAATCCCAAATTCCCAGTTTAACCTCATCTGCATCACAATTTTGATTTGGAATTTTTAATAATTAAAACTCAGCCAGATTTCTCTTCCTCTCCATTCATTTCCCCCATTGTTTCAAAGGAAGTATCAGACAAACATCTATATAGCCCAGACTTCCAGAATGACAGAAATGGAAAAATGACAAGGGACTTAGAAAAGCTACCACCCAGATGATCACCCCTTCATTAAGCTGTTTCACTTTCTGACAGTCTCTTAAAATTTTTCACTTCCTCCTGGGCCTCATCATCCCAACTGCATGTGGGGCCAGAGAGCCTAATGTACACTGGCCTGGATAGTCACACTAACCACACATAAAACTGTCCTCTGGCCAGGAAGTGGTCATCATTTGCAGAACTCTGTGCTGTCTGTAACAATAAGCAGACCTGGAGTTGGCCTGGAGTCTTGGCTTGCATGGGCCCGCCATATAGCAGGATGGATCTTGACCAAGCCAGGTCACTGGCTCCAGCTGCCTCTCAGCCCTCCACAGCTCATGCCGCACCAATTCTGGACCTTGCACTTATTGAAGGTCTCCAAGTAAGTGTTTACATTCTGCTAAATCACCAGCAAGCCTGGTGTTTTACTGTCTTGCTCTTGGAGTAAGAGGGAGAAGCTGGCCCAGCAACAACCTTGAAGTGCTCAGTCAACTGGAAGCAAAATGAAATTCCTTTAAAAGTGTAACAATGACCAGAAATTCTTTAAAAAAAATATTCAGAGATGTAAACATACTCATTTATACTTTTATAAGTATACACAAGAATGGGTATTGAGACACTGCCCAGATCCATATCTTGTCTCTGCCACTTATGAAGTGATGACTTGAGGCCAGTTACTTATCCTTGCTATACCTCAGTTTCCTCATCTGTGAAATGGGAACAGTATGAGTTTCTATCTCATAAGGCTGTTGTAAGGATGAAATAAAATTATGCATGTAAACTGTTTTAAAAAGTAAGCATTCAATAAATCAAGGAGGGGTAAAACATTTAAAATGGCCTAAAATGGTCAAAAAGTTGGAAATGGTTTACTACATTGTGGTTATCCCATATTAAATGAAAAAGAAGGCTACACAACTACATATAAGTTAATTTCAGTTTTGCGTTATAAAAGCAGGTACACACACACACACACACACACACACACACCCGCCCTTAGTACTCTCTATCACCCTGCTTTAATTATTTTTATGGTACTTATTGCTGCCATAGTAGAATGCATTAATGACCCCACATCTTCACTATTGCCCATACTGGCTTCTTTGCCATATGACTTTACAGGTCTTCTCATCAAGAGATGATGTTAGAAGAAAAGTTACAAGCAGAGGCCAGAACAAGCACTTAAGAAATTGCTCTCACACTTCTGTCATCACCATAAGAAGGACCAGCCCAGGCTAGCCTACTGTCCCCTGGAAAAAGATGGGTGATGGAGAGGAGAGCTGTCCTAACTAAGGCACCCCAGCCAAGCCCAGTCCAGAGCAAAATCCGCAGCCAGCCTGCAGACACATGAATGAGCCAGGTGAACTACAAACCACAAGTTCAGCTGAGTCCAGCCTAGGTCAGTCGACCCATAGACATGCCATAGTTGCGTGAATTATAATAGAAAGTGATAGTTTGATTTAAGTCTCAGAATTTTGGTGTGGTTTGCAACAAAGAAATACATAACTGATACAACCATTTAACATTATATATATTTTATTTCTGTTTATTGTCTGTTTCCCCCTTACCAAAATGAAAGTTCAAAAAAGACTGGCCTTGTTAATAACTAAGATCTTAGCATACCAACACTCCTCCAGAAAACTATGAACTCCTCCAGGTAATTATAAAGTCACATAACCATAAACTAAAAGCAGCTATGTGAAGCCACTGAATAATGAACACAAACAGGCAGAGGGGGAGTCCACACTTGAGGAGAATTGTACAGAATGAGTTCACGGTTGCACAGCCTTTCTCTGGAGTGTCTATCGGGGAAAACGCAGTCTTCCTGGTCTAAAAGCCAAAAGACTCCATCTGGGAAACCACATCCACTGGAAAGAAGGAAAAGAGTCTGAGAGCATATCCCTAACTCTGCCCACAGCTAGCTGACCCCTGAGCCACACATGCATGGAGTATACTGAAAGCAACGGAGCTAGGGACAAAAGAGCTGACCCCAGAATCGAGTTACACCCAAGAAACAGTTTGTAGTTTGAGTCCAACCAAGATAACTGCTTGCTGAAACTAAAGAAACTCAATCCTCTTTGAAAAAAAATAATAGAATCCAGAGTCTCTGCAACTTAACATTCTCAGTGTCCTAGATAAAATCCAAGCTTACAATATGTGAACCAGGGAAATGGAACACATTCTTAAAAAAAAAAAAATCAACTTAGACCAATCCTGGTATGACTCAGATACTTACAATGAATTTAAAAAGTAAGAAATTCCAGCAGAGAAATAGGAATAATAAGAAAGAACCAAATAGAAATTCCAGAACTGAACAATACAATACACTGGATGAACTTAACATCTGGAGAGGACAGAGAAAAGAGCAAGTGAACTTGAACACAGATCAGTGGAAATTATTCAGTGAGAAGAATAAAGAAAAAGAATGAAGTAAAAATTAACAGATCCTCAGGGATAATATCGTGCATACAAAGGAGTCCTAGTAGGGAGGAGAGAGAGAATAGAGCAAACTATCTTTAAAAATAATGGCTCAATATTTCCCAAATCTGGTGAAAGACATACATTAATAGATTCGATACTCAACAAACACCAAGCAGGATAAATACAAAGACCAGCCAAAGTACATCACAGGCAAACTGTTGAAAGCCAAAGATAAAAAGCAAGTCTTAAACACCTAAAAGAAATAAAGACATATTACATACAAGAGAATGATTCGATTGGCAGCTGATCTCTCATCGAAAACTTTGGAGGCCAGAAGACAGTGAAACAACATCTTTAATGTGCTGAAAGAAAAAATTACCAACTCTGAATGCTTATAACCCATAAATAGATCCTTCAGGAATGAAGGCAAATGAAGAGAATTCATTATTAATGGACCCGTGCTACAAGAAAAGTGAGAAGGAAATTCTTCAAGCCAAAGGGAAATGATACCAGTTGGAAATCCAGATCCTAAAGAAAGAATGAAGAATACCAAGAGTGGTAAATATCTGTGTAAATACAGAAGACTAATATTTTTTTTTTTTTGCTTTTTCTTCTTACTTTTTGTATGTTACTTATACTCCTTTAAAGGAAAAGTTATAACATTATCTTGTGGTATTTATTATTACATATAAATGTAATATATGTAACAACTATAGCATAAAGGATAAGGTATGATGGTGGCAGGGGGAATATGCAGCTATACGTTTATAAGCTTTCTATATTTTATGTAAAATAGTACCATTATTATTGGAAATAGTCTATGAAAAGTGAGGAATGTATACTGTAATCTCTAGCACAATGATTAAAACACGCACACACACACACACGAAAATGTACTAAGAAGAAAAGGCCAAGAAGAAAATTAAAATGAAATTGTAAAAATACATATATTCAAATCATCCAAAAAAAAAATAAAGGCAGAAGAGCAGAAACACAGGAACAGAAAAAATAGAGGGAATAAAGAGAAAACACAATAAAATGGTAGCCCCAAACCTAATAATATCAATAAGTATAGTAATAATTAATCAGCTAATAATTCCAAATAAAAGCAGAAATTAAAGAATGGATTTTTTAAAAAAGCAAGACCAACTATATGCTCTCCACAAGAGCTACCTTTAAACATAAAGACACAAATAGGTAGAAAGTAAATGGTTGGAAAAAGACATACTATGAAAGAGAGCATAAGTATGTAGAAGGCTATGTTAATATCAGATAAAATAGATTTTAAGACAAAGTTATTAAAAGAAATAAAAGAGGACTATTTTTTTCTTATAGTAAAAGGCATAACAATCAAATATGGGAGACCTTCATAACAGAGCCTTGGAAACACAAGAAGTTGGAACACTATTCACCGGTAAAAGGAATGAACTAATGATACATGGTGCAACACCAATAAGCCTCAAAAACGCAAGTGAAAAAAGTTAAACACAGAAGACCACATGATGCATGATTTCACTTATATGAAACATCCAGGAAAGGCAAATCTCTACAGAGTAGATCAGCCATGACGCAGAGCTGGGAATAGAGATTAACTGCCAGCTATAAGGGATCTTATTGGTGTGATAGAAATGTTCCAAAACTGGGTTATGGTAATGGTTGCTGTATTAGTCCGCTTTGTGTCGCTATAACAGATATACTTGAGACTGGGTAATTTATAAGGAAAAGAGGTTTATTTGCCTTATGATTCTGGGACAGCTGCACCTGACACGGGCCTCAGGCTGCTTCTACTCATGGTGGAAAGCGGCAGGCAGCAGGTGGGCACAAGCAGATCACATGGTGAGAGGAAGCAAGAGAGGGAGAAGGTGCCAGGGTCTTTTTAAGCAACGAGCTCTTGCGGGAACTAATAGAGCGAGAACTCACTCATTAAAATGCATCATCCTACAGAATTTTTCATATAATATCAAGAAATTCTAAGACCTCTAATATTTATTGAGTAATTATTATGTGCCAATACTGTTTGAGCACCAGAGAGAGAAGCAAAAACAGACCTATCCTTGTCCTCATCAACCTTATAGTTTAGTAAGGAAGATAGATACTGAATGAAAAATATATACAGATAAATACATAAATACAGCTAAGAGCTACGTAATAACTTCGTATAGCATACATTTGACTCAGTCAGTTTCCAACATTGCCACACTGGAGATCAAATTTCCGCATGT